AACACTAATGTAAAACAGCATATTAATATAGCATTTACTTGTTATTTAACACAATCATTAAATAATTGAATGCTTACTGTTGTTTAATACAGCATTGTAAGTTATTTAATAGTAAATGTTAAATAATAAAATATATAGTGTTGTTTAATATTGAGTAATCGTATTATTTAACGAGTAATGTTAATTAATGCATATAATGGCATATAATACCTTCAAAACTTCTTGATATACTACATATATTTATTTGGAGTAAGCATGTATGACACAAAAAATAAGCCAAGAAACAATTTGACCTGTGTCCTATTAGAGATACACAGAGAAGCCAACTATCTATATGTATCTATTGCAAAAGAATAAATATACAAATAAGTCTTTATTAAGAATAAATTTGGGTTATATATGATATTTTAAAAATAATTCTCACAATCTTATATAGTTATCGAGGATTATTTAATTTACCTACCAACCAAAAATTTTTATATAAGAGTTTTCTTTATAGCTATTAAATTTCATACAAGCATTTAATTCTGATTTTTAACTTAAGATTTGGTTATCACAACTTTTTTTAAAGTACGTTTTTTTGTATAAATTTATGTGGATTTATGAAAATAAATATTTATATTAATTATTATGTTTAAATTTTTATGTAAAGATAACTATTGAAGGAGATCCTGTTCAAGATGACTCTGGTGGTCGTGATTCTGACGACTCGCAATCTACTGTTAAGGATGATTCGGGTGGCTGTGATTCTGACGACTCGCAATCTACTATTAAAGATGATTCTGGTAGTTGCGATGAATGATTATGCTGTCAATATTACTTCAAATATAAATTATATAACTAGTGAATTTAAGTACAGTCAGACCTCCCTAAGTGCACCCCTTCGGGACCATAGGAAAAAAATTGAAAAGTGTGCATTTAGGAAGGGTGTGTATTTATAGAGAGAAAAATATATAGAGCTCTTATAAGTTGGAACCGGACTATACCGTGCATTTAGAGAGAGTTTACATAATCTGTGCACTTAGAGAAGTGCACTTAGGGAGGTCTGACTGTAGTCAAAAATTTCAAAAAATTGTCTATTTTACTAAAATCTGTCACAAATAGACACATGTTATCCGCAAATTCAAAATAACATACTAAGTTACTTGCAAACTTAGTATTCTATCTAATTAAATATATTTTTATCAATAAGTATGTTCTGCGTCATTTCACAATTTAAGTCGATTCAAAATTGACCTATGTTATTTTTTAATTTTCACCGATTTAAAATGACTTAGATCATTTCATAATGCAATAGCTATTAACTTTGCAAATCCTTTGATTGAATATTAGAAACTTTTATTCATCAAATAAAAATAAATGCTGTTTAATGGATCAAAACAAATATAATAAATATTTGAAAATACATACAATCAACATAACCCAAATTTTAAATTTGTTATCTATTATGTTGATACAAATGAAAAACTCTATACGATTAAGCCAATTTGGAATAATCTAGGGACAAAAGTTTGTTTTATTGAAAGTCTTTGAGATAATTTGTACTATGCACCAAGCAATTATATAAATAATCAAAACTATATATAGTATCATATAAAAATTAATTATTAAAGTTTTTTTAGGAATTTAGTAATGAGCTTGTTGCAGAGCGGCAGCTGCCTTTATTGCAGATCACATTGTAATTGTGTCTTTATAGTTAGCCTATTGTTTTGTTGATAACATCTGATTTAGCAAATTTAGATTAAAATTACTTTCATTAATTAAAATTTAATTCCCAACACATTTTTGGCATACTTTGATCCATTAATTGAGGTGCTTGAGAATGCCCATAATCTGATTGCCATTATGTTTATATTTGGTAGCAGAGTAATAAGCCCACCAATAATAAACTTGTTCTACGGTTATTAATTCATAACCATTAACCATTTCTAGAGTTTGTACATGATAGGTTCATTTAAATATATTCCTTGATTTATTAGAAATGTTGATATGTCATAAACGTTAGTTTGATCCTAAAGTCAATAAAATTTATTTCAAAATGAGTTCTAAAAATGATATCTAAACTTGCACTAGATTCATAATCAAGCATATATAATATACATATTATTTAATAATAAGTTGAAAGTAAATTAAAAAGACCATTTCTTGAAAATTTACTTCTGAATTCCATTCAACCTATAGTTAACTACCTGATAATAACCAAAATTTTAACAAATAGTGATAGTGCTTTATTTCACAACCTAGCATAGCTGTCTTATTAATATCTATTTCTTATTTATCTTAAAAAAGCTATTTATTTTTTCGTATATTATATTTCACGTCACTTAAAATTAGGAGTTTGAGTAACTGCTTGTTGATAAAAGACCCAATTGTCAGATATATTATTCGCATATAGTAAAATTTTATATGCAAGACTGGTTTGTGAAAAAATTTTGTGTAATGATAAATAGCTTATTATACATAAATATGAAGCTTAATTATTGTTATCGATTTTTGTTTGATTGACTGCCTTTAATGCATGATTATTTATGTTACTACTACCTAAAACACAATAATAAAATCGACTAATTAAGCATTTATTCCTTTCATTCTTCTTAAAACAGGATTTTGAAACTTATAGTATATTAAAAATTGTTTTCAAAAATTTAACTTATTAAATATGAGAAATATTTTTATCATTTATGACGAGGTTAAATTTACAGGACAAAAACTTGGTAAAGGATCAGCAGGTGAGGTTGAACTTGGAGAATACGAAGGAAAAAAAGTGGCTGGTATTTTTCTTTTTAGATTACTTTTTATGTTGAAAACTTATATTACATAATTCACGATTATATTTTCAGAGTCAAACGATTTGTTAATGACAATCTTAACGAAATAATAGAAAAACTTAGAAAACATAAAAATCTTCGATCAGAAAATATAATTGAGTTCTATGGTGTAATAAGATCCCCAAATGACAAAATGTATTTGGTCACGAAATTTGCTAAAAAGGGAACTTTACACGATTACTTTGAAAAAAATGAGCCTGGTTGGAGCATAAAAGCAAAAATAGCTATCGATATCGCGAATGGTTTGTTAGAATGTCATAAGTATAACATTGTATATTTAGATCTTAAATCAGAAAATATTTTAGTGGATATTTTAGTGAACAAGCATTTGGTATTAAAAATTTCTGACTTTAGTTTGAGCATTACAAAAGCAGAACTAGACCTTGGAAAGAAAGCTGGTGGTAAGCAAGTAATTTTTATATTTTCTAAAATAAGAATATCCTCCAATTAAAAATTCCTTTTAAAATTATTAGGAGCTAAAAAATAGAGAGCACCTGAATGTTTTGCTAAATATAAACCATATCTTGAAAAGTATGGCAATGATCCAAAATTTTCAAATATATTTAACGAAAAAATGGCAAAATTTTATAAAGATCGGCCGAAGCTCTCAGGTATATTTTCTAAACATTATTGTATATATTATTGCGCTTTGCAAAAATATATGAACTTTGTAGACTACAACTTTGTATGATTTCAAATCAAATCAATCAAAATATGGATCGATTATTATCACATCTTTTTGCAAATGCTATAAAATAAGATGCTCTATAGTTAAATTTTAATTATGAATATAGTATTGGTAACATGTACTGTATTATATCTCATCTAAATGAAGTAAATATATACACATATATTGCTTTATTATGAAACATTGATATATATGTGTGCTGCCAAGGGAAAATAAGACTTGGTTTTCAAATTTTTCATTTATTATTTGTCAGATTCAGCCCTTTTAAAAATCCGGTAGCAATATATACGATAAATATAATCACGTATCATGTATACTAATCAGATTTCCATAAGCTAAATCCAATAAATAATTAATAGAAATCTTATTTTTCCTTGGCAGTTTTCATATTAGCAATTACGATACTATAATTAATTACAATCCAGAAACCATAATAAGTTTATTTATATAATTTTCTGTTTTATAGATATTTATAGTTATGGATTGGTTGTGTGGGAAATCACGACAAACGGCATGATGTATGTTTTGTTTAATTTATTTAATTTATTTTTAATATAGCTAATATATTATTATTTTCATATAATATATAATGTGTAGCCTATATCCTAATATGTCTGATTTTCAACTCTTGGAAGCTAAAGCTCTTGATGATATTAATGATTTTGATAAAGAACTTAGACGAAAGAATACCCCAGGTGTATTCAGATACATAATCGAGAAATGTTGTAAATTTAATCCTAAAAAACGTATTACCTTAGAAGAAGTTATTATTGAGCTACAAAATAACTATAGAAATATACTATGGAATGAACGTGGAAGGTCTTATTTCCTCGAAGCACTTGATGATTATACGGAGTCATTAAATATTGAACCTAAAGATATATTTGCATTGTTTGGACGTGGTGCAACTTATCACAAATTGAAAAAATATAAAGAAGCTCTTGATGATTATAACAAATTATTGGAAATTAACCATAAAATACAAATGCTTTGAATGAGTGTGAAGCAACTTATTATTTAATGGGCAAATATAAAGAATCACTTGAAGATTTCGATAAATAATTAGAACTTGAACCAAATAATACAGATGCTTTAAAAAATCGTGAACAAAATACTCGCTATAATGTGGAAACAGAGAAGAGAATTGAACATGAAAATGGTATTGTCTCATTCAATTCGATACAAGTTATAACATTCAGGACATTTCAAGAACAGTAATTATCACATCACATGTAAATCATACAATGACGTTTGTTTACTAACACTATCAAATTGGCCTAAGCACTAAACCTAACTTAGGCCAAGTATTTAAACATGTAATGTGATGACAACGAAAATATCACTGAGTTCACTGTTCTTGAAACTACCCAAATGCTCCAGGGTATAGATGTGAGTTCTCAGATATGTGACGATCTATTTGTATCTCAAAAATTTATACAAGAAATCATCTACTAACAAAAATTTTCTCTGGATAATTTATGGTTCTGCTCACTCCTATTGTAGACACAAAATTTTACAATCACTTCATTTTATCGACACTTATTTCACCAACAATTACAGTAATTCACTGACGTCTTCATTTTACTGACACGCTTATTTCACTGACTAATAAGCTTAATTCGAGTAGTTTGAAGAATAAGGAATCCAATTCCATGATAAACACTCTGTCTAGATTAGGGTTAGTGTTAGGGCTAGAATATAGTATAATTAGACCGATTTACAGTGAATTAAGCTTATCGGTGAATTAATTGTTGGTGAATTTTAAGTATCAGTGAAATAAACGTGTCGATAAAATGAACAGATCGATGAATTAATTGTTTGTGATTTAAATGACTGTAAAATAAACATGTTGGTGAATTAATTGTTAGTAAAGTGTTGTGTCTATGGAGTGTTAGTGAAGTGATACGTGTCCATAATATAGTTATATATATACCATCTAATATTGAACTTTAATCTAGGTACTAGCCCTGACATTAACAATTTTGTGAATTTCACGTCAGATCTATTACATTTTACTGACAGACACGTTTTTCAACAGACAACTCTGTTTTCTCGAAAATTCATTTTACCAACAGAGATTTTTCTGTTTGTCTATTTTACTGAAAATGTATTTTCTGCCAATCCAATTTACAGACAGCATATTTTTTGACTTTTCTGATCTACTAGTCTCTTGATATACTATCTTCCTAATAAACCATTCCCCGATAACTCATAAGCATTATTTCATTACTATACAGTATGTAAATTTTTGCAAACCTTCAGCCTGCGAACTCCTATATTACAGCTGTTTCAAAAAGATGTGGAAAATAATTTCCATATGTCCATATAGGGAATCGAAGAATGTGGAAATTCTGCTTAGTAAAAATAAAAAATCCTATTAGAGCATGTCTTGCAAACTCTGGAAATCTTGAAAATATCGTGAATTCTCTATTATATAGTAATCTGCACCTTTCCACATCTTTTTGAAAACACTATAACTAATCAAGTCCCAGAAAAAGGCTATGCTACAAGAAGAATTATCATCATTCGAATCTTAATGTATAGCCTGCCCTGACAATAAAATTATATTGTCAAAAAAATTCTTGTCAGTAAAACTGTTATTGTTGGGAAATGGTTTGTTAGTCAAATAGATTGTTAGAAAATGGTTCGTCAATAAAATGGGATATCAGGAAAGCATCATTGTTGGCAAAAGGAAAATTAAGTAAAGCAGAGTTGGGCAAACATGGTTTCAAGAAGAGGCTTCAGAAAAATGAGATGCACCATTCATATGATAAAAAATCTTATCTACACCCTGGATATGTCGGGACTATGATAATATCAAACCTTCTGTATACAATCTAGATGCTTCTGCAATATATTATTTTTTAGTAATTTGGTATAAAGTTTGAAATTCCAATATTTACTATATAACTTTAATTTTAATTAGCAACTTTTTCAATTGAATCGATTACAGCCGGTATAGCTAATAATCTCTTTATGGTATAAATAATTTCTTTGTTTTTAATTAGATATATCATGTATTTAAAGTTTTTTGTATGAAGGATCCAGGGGACGTTTTAAGAAAAACTACTATTACTATTAAAAATCATTCAAAGCACATTCTTGATCAACACAGTACATATTTTGAATCTGGAACATCTGATTGGGGCTTCTAAGTCCAGTCTTAAGTGGTGAGGTTTGGTTTGGGGTGCTCGCAAGATTGCTGGACCTGTTGCTACAGGTGCAGTAGGTGTTTTTGTATACCATATCAGAGATCAAAATCAATCTTTAGTATTTATGTGGAGCATTCCATTTGATTATAATTTTTACAGTAATTGGTGGGCCATTCAAGTTTATGATAGTTTTATTGAGGCAAATTATGATAATAACTCTGAATTCTTTTTTGTTTCCAAATTTAGCTATTATAATATTTATTTTACATTATTAATCTAGATTTGTACTATAAGTTATATTATGGATCACCCCATAAAGAAGACGGTCATACCTATAAAGGAGATATGGATTTTGGTTGGCGTTATGTGAGATTGATAGAAGAATCTGGAATGCCTTTTATTGTTATTAATATTTATAAAGATTGAAATATTGGGTTAGAGTCTTATAGCCTAGTGGTCTAGGCGCCTAACCCTCCACAGACAAGGTTAACAGTTCGATTATAGCTGGTGGTAATTAATTTAATTAATAATCTCTGTAACCTACGATAGCTTTTGAATGCGAAACCCTGTGATGATAAAACCATGTGAAGTACATATTTGGTCTATAAAGAATTCTTGGAAGGAGTCCCGAGCTGTAGAGAAGACTGGGCACTATGTGTGACATGGCATCACAGAAAGTAATACTGCATAAGGCTGTGCATATAAATCCTTGATTGGCTAGATAGCACCAACAGCCCTAAGGCAGTCTTGAGGATCTTGATTGGGAGGACAGCTAAAAGCAGTATATCTAGAAGTGGTGAGAGAAGCAGTGAATACAGTAAGGAGTTGTGGTAAGAGGATGGCTTTACCAAATAAAGGAACACCTCTGGCACACAAGATTGGAAATTGGAAAACTAATAAGAAAAACACTGCATATCACAACGTCAATGATAGGTGCCATACTAATGTGCTATAAGTCAAGGTTCCAGGCCTCCTTGCATTACCAAGCTGGAAGTAAAATGATCGTTAGTAGTACACCCATATAACATAATTATACTGGGAAGCTTCGGCACTCATGCTATAGTCAATCATACCAACTATGGAAGCATTGTATAAAGTAGGTGATACACTGCTGATAACAACTGGAAATTCAATAAATCTAGCCATGCCGTAAGGTATCAATATATATAGAAAGCTATATACACCAATATGGAAGCAAGAAGAGCGAAAAACTGCCAAAATGAACCAATTTGGGAGAATTATAAGGTTGCTGCAGGAAGAAGATAGGGGAGTGTAATAAGTACAAAAATAGGTAACAATAGAAAATCTTGTAATATAGTACGTAATTAGGAAGATTGAAATCGAGATACAGATTGTGTTACAGCCGCACCCCAAAAGGTGGTATGAGATATGAACACAATGGTGGCAGTCAATATATACAAATTGGAAGAAAATTACAGAAAATAATTACATGGTGGGACATGTTGCTCTAACCGATCCTAGCTTGAAGTTGGCTTGAAATAGTTAATGGAAAAGTAATATAGGAAAATAAGGAGTATAATGCCACGTTGGGTGACTAGTAATAGTAGCACAAATGTAATTAGAAACTGTATATCAATTGTTCTGTAAAAAGGCATTAATCTTAACTAATAAAGTTTCTACGTTTGGCAATATAAAAAAAAAAAAAAAAAGATTGAAATATTATCTAATAGCAGTAATATGCAAATCTATTATATATTATAGTGTTATTAAATAAGCAATACCCTGAGCATTTTTTGTGAAAAAAAGCAGTTAACTTATTTTTGAATTACTCTCTAAGTAACCCAGTGTGATAATCATCAATCAAAGTTACTTTAATTTCTTTATCAAGTTACTCAAATTTGCATTAAGGAACATGTTAAAGTTATTTTGTATAAATAAGTTAATTAGAGATTTGTTTGTACTGTTAACTGAATTATATAGCTAATATTAAATGTAAAAAAGATGATTCATTATACTAGCACAATTATGTGAATGTGTAACATAAAATGCGTTGAACGATACGTAGTTCTGTTTAACTTTTTCAAAATTTCTTATTAGTATTTATTATCTAATTACCGGATTATAGTAATAACCCTAGTGTCACCAATACAAAAAATTTCACCAATCTCGTGTGAACAATTAAAATTTTTTACACTATTGAATTTTGATTTTTTCTAAAAAAAAATTATTTTAAGATTTTAATTGCTGATCCGATAAGATTGACACAATTTCTATATAAGTGCCACCTTTTGGGGTGCTTTTATTCTATAGACATTTCTCAAGTACCAACCTTTCTAAGTATGCACCTATTATATACTCCTTATTCAGTTCACAACAACCCAATACCTACATTCAGACCGTTTTCTTATCTGGATTCTTTATCAGTCACTCACCTTCTTCTAGCTAGTAACCCAGAGGGTCAGTCTGCCCAGGCTTTAGATGCCTCACAGTTGCTCTTCTCTTGGTCTATACTATAGATATCACTAAAATCGATTTTCAAAAAAGATCTATTTTATCTTCATTAGAGCAAATTAAAATTTTTTATAAAAAAGAGCAAATAAAATTTATATATTTATGCTTCTTATAATTTTGTCTATTCAAAAAAAGTGTTAAAAAATTTTGTCTTTTAAGTAAAATAGATCAAAAACAATTTTGGTTTAAATTTTAATTTCAGGTTTAGAACTTGAAATAATTTTGTCAGCATGTATAGTCTATACTTTCAGAGCATATGCCCTTTTCTTCCATTGTGTTAGCCTGGTAGTTTAGCTAGTGTGTCCCCTACTTAAAAACCTAATTGCTCAGTTCTCTAATCTCAAGCCCTGGTTCAAATTTAGCCTTCCTGTAGTACTGTCAATAATTATTGCTATCTCCAAACTCAGAACCTGCCAAACAGGTTTTCAGTTATTCTAGTCTTCTAAATTTATTGCACTGAAGCTTCTATTACTAGATAGTGTAACCAGAGTTACAGATTAATCTAAATTCAACCAATAGATCACTATCAACTATATATTAGCAAATTTAATAGGGCGTAATATTATGTAATAAGTTACAAATCGTAAAAAAGGTGTAATATAACGTAAGATATTTCAAAACCTAGTGAAATATTAACTTATGAAATATTACGTAAGATATAACGAAATATTACGTAAGATATTTCGCAATATAGCGAAATAGAAAGCGAAAATTTACGTCAAATTTATAGGTAGTAAATTAAATCACATTAACTCGAACATGCTTAAAGATGATAACAATAAGTAAAACTACTAAGTGTAAATTATATTAATATTTTAGAAATTTAAGTTAGAAAATCACTAAATAGATTATAATATAAATCAAAATAGAGGTGTGGCGGCTTAGTGAAGTAGTCAAGTCGTCACCCTCTCCAAGTAGCAGGTCTAGGGTTCAAATCCCATAGACGACAAAAGTTTGAAAAATAGGTTTGTGTAATGGTAACAGATCTTCATTAAGTTGGAGCTTAGAGTAACCTGTAACCTCAGGTCACACCAATGCTCTGTATTGGAAAGTTGTCACTGTTGGGCATCTGTGTACTGCCAAGCAGATAAAGAATGTCCCGGTAGTGTTGGTAATACCGAGGAACGAGAAGATTCTGGAACCTGCTTGGCAAGTCCCGAGTTGGGAGTAGCAGTGATCTTCGACGGTATCACATTAAAGGCTGAATTCGAACTAGAACCTGAGATTGGAGAACTGTAGGACCAGGTCTTTTAGTGGGGGACACACCAGCCGAACCGCCGGTTTAGATGCACCGGAGGAAAAGGGTATACGCTCCGAAAGTATAAACCAAAGGGAGAGCGTCCTTCAGGTACCTAAAGCCTGGGCAGACCAACCTTTCTGGGTTGCCGGCTAGAACTACGAGAGAGACCGATGAAGCTTCCGGATAAAGAGATGACTGGATTGCGAATACTGGGGTTGTTGTGAACCTTGCAAGGGCAAGGAGTACGTAATGAGCAACTAATTAGGAAAGTTGGGCTTGAGATACAGATTGTGTTACGGCAGCACCCCAAAAGGTGGCATGAGATATGAACACAATAGCGGCAGACAATATGTATTAATTAGGAAGAAATTACTGAATATGCAGGTAAATGGCCATGTGGGATGGGCACCACTCTGTTGGGTTTACCACAAGGATAAATGCCTTCTGTTGTTGGC